ATTTTAAAAGTAACCTTCCCAACACTGTCTGTTGATAGCGTACATGTTTACATGTTACAGTTACAAAATAACCCTTAGCTTTTTTGCTGTTAGCAATTTAGTGACGTGAATGCATCCTCAGCTCCTCTGGGATCACAAATAATAATTCAGCAGAGCAGAATTTAAATCTGGATTAACTGTCAGAAGGCCATGCTGCTTGTAGCTTCTTCTGGATTGTCTTCTATGGACAGACGGTTTGTGTGCACAGAAGACAATCAAGAAAAAAAAACAAGTGGTCATTCCTGTTATATTTCTTTGAAGTCCACCTGGAGAGGATGTGCAGGTGGTGCATTCTAATATAAAGTCTTGGGTTAGCTGGTCCACATTGTCATAAAACACTGGCAAGCACATGGACATCTGCATAGACCTCCATGCTCTCTGACTGATGACGAAATTCATGCAACTTGGTCCTCATCAGACTTACTGATGCAAAAAGTATAATTAAGGCTTAAATCTTCATAAAACTTAGATAGATGCATTTAAATACACTGTTGTGATATCAAAAAGACTAGATAAAGATCTTGATAACTAGATAGGCTTCGTGTTATTCCAGTAATGTAATGTTAATGTAATAATGTCTTGCTTGTGTGCCTGACGCCACATCCAGCTTTACGCGTGTTACAGATAAAGCTGGATAAGGTTGGAAATGATGCACCTTTGATCCAATTACTTTACCAGGAGCAGAGTGGATGCAGTGCAGTAAAATGTATGCAGTGTACGCTATCGAGCATAATTTGATCTGAACTATCCAGTAAAGAGGAGTTGCTCTGCACCTAGCATTGTTGTTATAGCTGCCTCGTTGTAAACACTGAGACACCAGGTTAGAGTTACTCTTGGCTGATCCATGCTAAGCTTCTAGCTTGTTAAACTCTATTTAAAGTCTTCCCTCACACAGTGATAGCTCTAATTTAAGTGCGCACATAACAGTAGATAGTTAGGGAGTAGATAGGAGGAGAGTTGTTGGCTGGAGCATTTTGCACAGGGTGTATTTGCACAGCTGAGTGTAGCACTGACATAGCTAACATCACTGTCATAATTAGACCTGTAGGCACAGTTCGGTGGCAGTGCAGGGTAGACCTCGGTATCTGTTTTTCAGGCTTCCTGTTCTGCTCTTTATTTGTTGCTGTCTCCTGTGTTTCCCCATGTCTCGCTTCCATGCATATGCCATGACTGACAGTGTTGGGTGGAATGTGAACATTCGGTTTTTAAATAGCATCCTGGCCTGAATCAGCCACTCCTAATAAGGCAGAGGGCCGTGACACTGGCCCTAAAATATCAGCAACCACCTCACTGAGAATAAAACTTTTCCTGGCCTTGTTATTTAGGGACCACTGATAATAGCTGTTGAATATGAGTGCAAACAAGGTACACTAGATATAGATTTCCCAGAGCTGTCATAAATATATTTCAGGCAACATAACATACCCTACTGAATGTAGCCTCGTGTTCAGGGTGTCTCTTGAACTGCAGGTAATTGTACTTTACAGTAATGGCAACTTAAGGTGAAGAACAGCTTTGAGGAAACCTTAATTTGTATTATGCACTATCAACGTTTGACACCAGGTTTTACAATTAACTTTACTTTCATTTTCCTTTATTTAGGATACTGGTGGGAGCTCCAAGGGCGGCAGGGCAGGGTAAGTTGACGGGCAGTCGACCAGGAGCCCTGTTCAGGTGTCCGATCACACCAGAGGAGTACGACTGTGAGAGGGTTGACATCGATGGAGACGGTGGGTTTCAAGTGCAGCTGAAACAACCATACTATGACGTGATTTTTATTCTTGGTGTTTCCCTTTGTTCTCTGTACTGTGAAATTAAACACTTCAACCAAAGACAAAACTTTAAACACATCAACTTGGGCTTTAAGAAATCTAAATAACACCTGGACCTCTGTCGGTCA